AGAGAGAGAGAGAGAGAGAGAGAGAGATAGAGTGTGTGAGTGGGGGGATGATGAAAACCCTAGTGAGTATATGAGCGGTTCATAACTTTTATTTTTTGACCACTATGATTCCTTACAATGAGAGGTTCAGAACTAATAGTTCCAAACATAGAGTACTTCGGGGAAAAAAATTCAAAAAATTCAAAAAAAGAAAAAAGAACATGGACATCATAAGAGCAACATATAGGTGACATTCATTTAATACCTTAGGGGATACTAGCGTAAATCTCCCCAAACTTAGAGGGAAACAAAAAGGAAGACGAGGGAGGGCAAATAGAATTTAATTATTGTTTTCTAAGTGCCTGTAAGATTACATTCAATGGGAAAGTATTGATTTGTTACAAAATAACAAATTCAATCTCCGTTAAGAGAATACGTAACGAAATTTTTCCCTGTATATCACTATTTTTTCGGGTCATCGTGATATAGAACAGTTTAATAAGCTTACAAAAATAAAATTTAGAAAAGTACAAATAACTGAAATTAATATCTTAATCACAACCAAGGGTAACTGAAGTCTGACCCTAGAAAAGGTTGGCCATCAACGACGTCTTGTACCAAAACGACTCCGCCCCTTGTGATACCTAGGATTTCTGTATCCCATAGATATGCAAGCTTGGCCTGTTTGAGATTTCTCTTCAGTGGCATGTTTCGATCCTCTTCCCCATTACTTAGAAAAAAAACTCTGCCCAATCGAAACTCGCACTTAGAATAATAACTCGTAAACAATGGCAATACAAACACAAAATTTGGAAGAACCCCAAAAGTCCTATATACACTTAAAAGAATTACAGATATTCCGGCAAATTCAAATGTACCTCAGTCACTAAAAACATGCTTGCAAACACTTCGAAATAAAGAACATCATTGATTGATTAAGGATAAGCAGATTGCTCATTGAAGATCTTGAAGGAATCCACCACAGTATGCAATTTGTCTTTCATCTTTGCCCACCTCCTCTCGTTAGCTCCTGTCGTCAATGTGTAAAATTTCCCTACAATGAATTGAAATTAACAAAAGCATACGATAATCAGAAAAAGATTTTCTTAAGAGATGGACTCTCTCTCTCTCTCTCCCTCTCTCTCTCTCTCTTTCTCTCTGTTTTACTTGTAGGGAATAAATAGTAATTGATAGCCTACCGTTTCCAATTGTTATAGAGCCAAGTGCATGGCGGGTGTAGTTTGGTGCCTGAGCAACAAACTCAAAAGTGTAATAAGACTTCCCATCAACTGTATTCTGCAAAAGAGCAACACTCATGGAGTTGGTCTCATCATACAAAACGTTTGACCTTGTAACACAGAATCACAAACATGCTTCGCAGTCCATAGATATATCCAGGGTGTAGGTTAAAACCACTCGTTATATCTCCTTTCAACACAAGACAATCATCCCACATATCAATCTGCAAGAATATAAAAAACTAAACTAAACTGTAAATATGGCATATTGTAGCTTTGGTGCAGACAAGGTAAAGGTAATGCTGGAAACCAATGTTGAAGATGTACCAAACATATCCCCATCGGCATTCCATAAATCCGAAAGATTCCTACTGAATTTGTCTATAAATATAATTCCAAGCAGATACTTCTTTACTTTCTTCTTCTTTTCTGTTTATAAACAGAATAGTAAACAGAAGACCTTTTACCAAGTTGACAATCCATAATTCTGATGGAACCTTCCACATGTAGCTCCAAATAAGTGACGTGCATTCTATAACCATGTGATGACTACTGCACAGCAGAGGACTAGTGTCCCATTAGTCTAAACAACCTGAGACTGAGAACAAGAAGAAAAGATCTATGCTCCTGAGAGAACACAAATAAAGAGAAATTGAGATGAAATCGAATGATAACATGAGCCAAAATCACCAATTTATGTAAAACGTGTGTGTTTGCTAATTGATTTTCCATTGACGATGTTCAGCACAATCTTTATTTATTTTTTATTTTTTTGTTTTTGGAAATGTTAAATGTTTTCACTAATGCAACATTGATGTATAAATATGATTTCCAAATACAGAACCAAGTCTATATGCATCAGTTCTGTAAGAATTCGTAACAATCAGTAATCCTAGAGACTATCAAAACTGATTTAGAGATTCCGTCCTTTGTGAGGGTGTCCATTTCTTGCTTGGACACCCTTCTTGAATGTTTTAAGGTATTCAGAGTTTTCAACTGATCCCAGATTTCATTAAATATATTGTTCAAGTGCCAAGGCCATTCCCATACTTTGTTGTCCACCATGATCACATTGCTCAATTATGATTTTCGTTCATTGTGGATCAAGGTTCCTAAAAAATTAGTGGTGATCACGCCTGAACTTTACTGGATTCACACATATGAAGAGGGGCTGATTATGTCATTAACGTAAATGATTTCTTGCTATAACTCCTGTCCAGCTGGACCAGGATTTCACACGAACTGCCATTGAAGTTCATCTTCACCATATCTTACAAGGGTGGTATCCATCTCCCAGACCCATTTGCCTTCCTATCTCTTATGTATAATATGATTTTTGAAACTACCACCAAATGACTGTTGAACTCCTTTCTAGATCTTGCCTTCACTATGTTAGTGCTCCTTAGCTGTCCCTAATCTTATCCAACCCACAACTTTATCTTTGAGTTTTCTGTTGTTTCTTTCTGACCATATCGCTCATATGACTGCCATCCAATTAATCTTCACATGATAAGGCCCCTTTCTGTGAGAGATGGGGCAAATCACTGCACCAGAAGTGCTTCAAAAGATGGAGGTACAACCCAAAACAGGTCAAGAAGCTCCAACACAAAAGAAGAAATCTCAATAGCCTTAGAACAAGTTGAAGAAACAGGTGGTGCCTGTTTAAGCATTCTCTATACGCAAAATGAAAATACTTGAAATGGGCAAACTTTTGCATATGATGTTATGTATCTTCATTACTCTTAAGCCTACGAGGAAAGATGTTCTCAAATATTTGCAAAATAAGAGCTCAATTTTTATTTTATTTATTTTCTTTCTACCAAACTTAAAATGTGTTTTAAAATAGACTAGTGCTTTTGTAGAGAAAAAGAAAGTGCCATGAGAAGAGAGAGACAAGTGGCCATTGAAAGGCAACACTTGGCCATTCTCTCTCTACATGTGTCTCTCTAAGTTTTTTTTGTGGCTATATATAGGAAATGGTTTTGGGAGGCCTAGGTACCTTGGCTCGAGCTCTCTCTCTCTATCTTCTTTCTCTCTCTTAAAGATTCCTTGTGAGCTGAGTACCAGCGAATTGCCTCTCATCTCTGTGAGAGCCCTCCAATATCACAGGATAATTTACAACACCGTGTTGCATCTCACAATAGTTTTCTTTCTCTCGATTGTTTGCTAACCATTGTTTTGAAGCAAGCTTGTCTTCCCTTTTGTGCAATATATTGCTGAAAAACTCATTCTCAGCAAGATTCTCTCTCTAAAAAAGCTATGAAACTAAGCCTGCAAATCTCTACAAATTTGGTGAGTTTGTTCCAAGTTTTTCTTCATATTTTCCTTTTGAAATAGTACTCGAAGGTTGGAAAGGTTGTATGAGAAAGGGAAAAATTGTTGGGCATCATTTTATTTTGTTGGAATGATTCACTATGGGTTTTTGATAGGTACATGCTTGCTGGAAATTACATTGGAGTTGCTTAGAAGAGGTTTACAATAGTTACAATTGATTTTGGGTTTGTGGATAACAAAGTTAGTGATCTTTGTACATCCTCTTGAGTCCCAAAGAAATTTACAGAAAGTTTTTTAGAGTGTTTTGATAAGAGTTGCATACCATGTGTTTGTCGATATTTCAGGTCGAGTTCAAAACCCAGTTTGCATGTTACTGTAGCTATATTTACTTCTGCAAACCAAAAAGATCCACTGTTATTTGGCCAACATTTGGTATCAGAGCATAGGGGTTTTCAATTTGTATAAAAAATGCCTAATCCTAGAGCTGTATTGATAGACTTGGTAATTATTGATAAGCTTGATGGCCATAATTTCTCACTTTGGAAGAGTAAAGTATCTTATTTGCTGCATACTACGGATTTGTTGTATGTTATTGAAGAAGAAATCATATCTGAACCTGATATTGATTCTACACTTTCTGAGAGGTAATGCTACTTAAAATGGAAGAATGATAAATTTACATGTAAGGGTATTACCTTGGATTGTCTTAGTGATAGATTACATAAAGTCTTTGAACCCTACACTAATGCTAAAGACTTATGGGAGGCTATAGAGAAAAGGCACACCGAAGACAATTACATGTCAAAACATGAACTCTATGAAAGATATAACCAACACAAAATGAGATAGAACCAATCAATGCTAGAATTTTTTGATGACATGATTGTAATGGATAACCAACTTGCCGGTTATGGAGAACCCATATCCGATCATCATCAAATTATGAAGATAATAGAAAGACTCCCTAATTCATGCACAGAACTTAAGAAAAACTTGTGCCAAATGGTACGATCCACACCCTTGATGATTTAAGAGGACATCTTAGGATGGAAGAGAATGATAGGGCAAAAGCGAAAAATGAAAGAGCCCAATAGCAGGCTTATATGGCTACCAACAACAAGCTTATATGGCTACTCAAAAAAGGTATCCTAGACCTAATCATACGAAGAGAAAGGAGAATAAAGAAAAGAATGAGGAAACAAAGAAGAAGAGAAGAAAAGGAAAAATTCTTTAAAAAGTTAAGAAGAAATTTTAATTGTAACAAACTTGGTCATATTGCTAAATTTTGTAGGCCCCACCCAATGCTTTAAAAAGCGGACAGCCCAACGCCTAGGCGGTCTTCCTTGGGCGGCCGCCTAGGCGGTACGGAATCCGCCTAGGCGGCCGTCTAGCGCCCAGCCCTGGGCGACTACCCAGGGCCTGCGCCCTGCCCAGAGGCGGAAAAAATTTTTTTTTTTTTTTTTTCATTTTTTTCAAAGATATAAAAGTTAATAATGATGGCTTTTAGGTTCATTTGAACCCTAAACCCACCAGAACCCCTTTTAGAGTAACAGAAACCTCCAAAAAACTACATTTCATTGGATCGAATCATCGAAGTGTTTATCAAAGTTTGGAGTTCAAGTAACCAAAGTAAGTGCATTTTTTAGATTGCTTGCTTTATTTGGAGATGTATTCTTCAGGAGTTAGTCGGAGTGGAGATCCGAGTTGGAAATATGGATACAACCTGAATCCAAATGACAAAAATTGTGTTGAATGCAATTTTTGTGAAAAAGATACAAAAGGAGGTCTAAACCGGCTTAATAAACATCTTGCCGGTATTAAGGGGGATGTTGCCCCTTGTAAAAATGTTCATGAAGCTATCAAGGAGGAGATTAAGCAATTTTTAAGTTATGAAAAACAAAAATAAGAACAAAATCCTTGTCATAGATCTATTTTTGCTACTCCTAGAAAACGTGATCAGGGTTGGAAGTATGTGTACAACTCAAAACCAAATGATAAAAATTGTATTAAGGTGTAACTTTTGTGAAAAAGATACCAATGGGGTATTAGTCGATTCAAAAAACACCTTGCTGGTGTTAGAGGTAATGTTGCTTCTTGTACAAAGGTGCCTGAAGCAATTCGAGATGAGATTAGACATCTTCTGAATTTTAAAGAACCAAAAAAGGATGAAAATAAGCCTTGTTCTATGGAAGTATCTTTTCCAGGTTCTAGTCGGAGTGGTGATCCGGGTTGGAAGTATGGTTATAACCCGAATCCAAGTAATAAAAATCGTATTAAATGTAATTATTGTGGAAATGATACTAATCATCTGCACAAACTGTACATACTAGTAAGAGGAAGGTAGAAGAAGAGGAGGAAGAGGCAAATTCAGAAGAAACAAAGGAGAACGAGCATTATATTGAAGAGGGAGATGACTCTGATGATGATGGCCTCGACTCTGTTGCATATGATGAGGCTTGCCCTATTGATATTCCTTCTGATGATAATGATGATGATGATGACTGAAGACTCTTGCCTCTTGGTGCTGACTGCTGAGTGTTGTGTTGAGTGATGAGTGCTGACTCTTGTTAGACTGTATATTTTCTAAATTTCTGTTTATTTCTGTTGGGTTGAGTGTTGACTTTTATATCCTACACTTGTATGGTTTTACAGCTTACTATTTTAACAAAATGGATTATCAAAATTTTCTTCACGACATCTTTCTTTTTTTTCTTTTTTTTTCAACTTGGAATATGGTATATTGGGATTTTTACACTTTTTTTTCAACTGGGCAGCCGCCCAGGT